ACCTGCTGATCAGCCATGGAAAAGGTACGGCTACCGTAATCAATAGTCCATGGTGGGAGCTTGCGGAGCAGGTAGATGCCAAGAATGATATTATAAGCGTCAGCGTCGTCGGGTATACAAGCCGATTCCGTGAAATAGACGGGGTGCTCAAAAGATAACGAACCAATTTGGAAAGCAAGCGGGGCGCAGCCTAACAAATGGACGGGGATGCCGGCCATTCCTACCGCGCTGGTTACGTCGCTTCTCTTGATTGAGAAGACTCCAAACAAGGGCGCCGTGGCTGCTGTAGTAATTGTTATTGAAGCGCCGGTGTCAATAAGCGCTAGTACACGGATACCGTTCACTGTGATGGGAATTTGAGCTACAAAAAAACGGTCGTGGCCTGCCAAATATAGCATTTTTATGGGACTTAACGATGCGCGTGGTGGCCACGAAGAGGTGGCATCAATTTCCACCTGAGCTATTTCGAGTACATCCACAGCTGGCGGCGGACATTCCACCGAAGGGACAATTGCCAGCTTCCGTGTGGGTGCAGCGTTTTCACGTTGCAAAACCGTACTCGGAAGCGAAAGTAGTTCTTGGAATCGGGGCTTCCAGCCCGGAATATTCAGCTTACAGTAGAGAATAATGGCAGCCTTAAGCATGCCGGCAGAAACGGAGATGCAACATATGATGACCCAAAGGTCAAAAAACGACCAAGACCCTAATATGGCGGACCAGAAAGAGACATTAACAGAAGAGGGAATAGTATCACCGCGAGAGAGTGCTCCCGACGCCGAAGAAGCCAGCTTCAAAAAGTGGTCAGGTGTAACAGAAGACCACAACTCTGACCATTGATGGTCTTGCACCAGCTCGGTCAAATTAGTTAAGAATAAGGTTATGGAAGATAGTGAGAGGCAGAGCAAGAGCAGAAGAATTGAAGCTGCTAGGAAAAGCGATATTACGTATGCTTGAGGAAGACACCAGCTGGGTGTCCCCAGAGAAGGGGTCAAATTTGAGGTACCCGTTACCATGCACAAAATAAAAGTGGTTTACCGATGAGCATGGGGCTGGTAGGGCGCTTTCAGAAAGCACCAAAGTGGAAGGATCAATGAAAGAGTGGACCATGGAACCGCTGGGGAAGGAGATTTCAACCAACGGCTTGGCAAAACAGGTGCCATTGAATGGAATAAGGCGTAAATTGCGAGGAGGAACAGGCATACAGCGGTGAATTTGAACGAGGTCGCTGCCCAGAGAGGAGGCAGCAATGTCGCTCCGAGCCAAGAGATTACGTAGAGTCAAAGTGGGATTGGCGGCCAATGAAGTATGAAGAGCGAAGGCTAATAGATTGGTGCGGTCACACAGTGCCGAAAGGGCATGATGGAAAAGCGCTGACACTGCGGAGCTCACCGTTCCCTCGACTGCCAGGAGCTGCGCTCGGAGCGTCCGCGCTCGGAGAGCGAGGCAGCCGGGTGAGAGGGGCGACCGCGTAGCCCTGGTCAGAGAGAATGAGCTGTGCACCGCAATCTTGGATACGCTCGCTGGAATCGCGCCAAGAAAGAGCAAACTCTTTAGAATCGCTGATCCAGATCTCTCCGAGTTGGCGACCCCTCATCTTCGTGACCGGTACGAAGCGGCAGGCCTCCTCCTTGTCGGCGTCCACAAGAGCATGGAACCGTCTGTCAGGAGGCAGCTACCAGCTTCGTAGCCGCAATGAGCGAGGTTGCCAACAGGTGAGTCCGGAGAAGAGGAATCATGGCGCATGTGGATGACGGATTGGATAACAAAGCAGTTAGAAGTTGACACCGTATGCTCGGTGCAGCATCCAAAAGGAGCGGAAGGCCAAAGAATCGCGATAGAATTAGAGGTTGACCAAATGCTGTCGGACCGCGACATGTTCGCACCTGTGGTGTAAAACCATGAGTTTGCATACAAGTGGGACAATGGCCTGTGTCTCGCTGCGATTTTCAAAATGTGCGCCGAAGAAACTGACAGAATACGTCACCGAATGAGTGACAACTTTGCATAAAAATGCAGGAGTATTGTACCGACGGGTGTTAGGTCGGTAAATATGAACCGATAATGGACGAGGATTCTCGTCGATTCGAGGAATGATGCGAGAACAATTGTAGGAGGAAGGAATGCGGGCGAGCGCATCGGCTTTGTCTCTAGGACAGAGCCATGCTGAGGCTGGAAATGCCTCACTCAACCCACTGCTAAGAAGCATACAGATAGGTAACAAAGTCTTGACATTAGGCAACGAACGAGGAGAAGTACCGGAAGAGGTAGAAGGATGCCCAAAAGTGGAGCTAGCGAGCTCTTCATTGCGTTTTATAAGAGCATTTATTCTGGCATCAGAATGTTCCAAAGCTGACTGGTTCTCGCGCAAAGAGAGAGAAAGTGCTTTAATTTGCTCGCGGGCTTCCGAGAGCTCACGATCGCGACGAGAAAATGAGTTAGGAAAACGAGAAGAAGAACCAAAGGTTTACGATCACGAGAACGACTACGATAAGTAACCGTACCTGTGTTCCGGCGGACGTCGCGAGGTGACGGGCACGATCGTGAAACATGTCCAATCCCACCACAATTAAAACAGGTGGGTGACGACTGGTTCGACATCCGTGGCGCAAAGTTGTTCCTCACCTCTGAAAAGATTGCATTGTCACGGTTACGAGGTGCACGGTATTGTTCAAACTGTGGACCCCTGTTTCCTCTTCTCGGAGTGACAGCCGTTTTCACCTCGATCGATTGCGGCGCTTGCGATGGCCGTATAAGGCGATCAGCTGTTGCCTCCGCGAGAAGTTGCTCGACCATTTGTGCCTTCGTAACGGCTTGCTCGAAGGTGGAAGGGTTGTCCAGCTTGACGTAGTAGCGTATGTCCGGTCGAATCTGGACACAAACTCCTCAAGAACACGTTCCTTCTGACTGGATGGATCCTGACCGGCCGTAGCTGCTCGTACTAAAAGAAGTAAACGATTGGCAAAGGTGGCAGAAGACTCACCGATCTGTTGTTGACAAGCGGAGAGTGATTGACGAGCCATGTACCGGTGCTGTGGTCCCTCAAAAGATTTCTTAAGGTGGGCAACCACAGTAGGGTAGTCGTCCCGCTCCTGATCAGAGAGTTCCTCGACTTTCTCTCTGGCTACTCCATCTAAGTACCCGATGAGAAAATATGCCTTTTGCTGACTGGTCCAAGTGGTGGATCTCATGCGCATAACATCCTCAAGGCGTCTGAGCCATAAGGAGAACTGCATAGGATCCTCACCTGAACCGCTAAAAGGAATAATTCTTGGTAACGGCCCTTCAGGGCTGACATTAGCGACTAAAGGAATAGCGTTAATGCGGTCTCCAACGGCAGCAAATGACTGATTAAGATCAGATAAAAGAGTGGAATTACCTTCATTAATTTGTTGAGTCAACCGGGCCGTCTCCGCTCGAGAGTCACTTCGTGCTTCGGCAATGGCGAGGACCGTCGCATCCCTTAAAGATTTCGCATCCTTCCCATAAACGTTAGCCTGATCGTCTAAATCAGAGAGGACGCCTGCGAGATTATCGGAGGCAGAGAGATCACAACTAGTTCTTGGTTTCGGGGCAACAGCCCTAGAATCCACCGGAGTGGCACGAGAACGGGTCGACGGAGGACCCATAAGTAGAGAGAGGAACGAACACAATAGAAAGAGAGCCTGAACAACGTATCAATAACGTCAAGACAGAGTTAATGACTGGCGACCATCTTATGTAGTCGCTAATGAGGAAGGGGGCGGAGCCAGCCAATGAGGAGGCCGCGATTACCGTAATCCGTCACCCTGGAGGAATTCAAAGAAGTGAGGAGGAGACCAAGAGATCATGATAAGAATATATCATATGTTGATGGGCTATTGTTTACATGAGGAGAAGATCTGAGACAGAGGATTATGTGAGAAGGAATCTGCGATATCCCTTATCTGCAGCTGGATCAGGGGTGCACATGAGAGGATGTTTGTTGGAAAACAAAGCGGCGAGCGAATGGGAAAGTGTGCTTGAAGCGTTCGGAGCTAAAGCGCTATGTTGATGTTGGAAAATGCAGAGAAAAGAGAAACATTAAGGATGGCTGGGAAAAAGAAACGGGAAGCAAAGATCAACCCTAACTCTGGACTGAGAAAAGAGAATCAAGGTGTATATGCAAAGCAAGGGTGATGGACTGAAAATATGAAAATTATAAGCAAAAATTCATGAAAGCTAGTCAACCTTTGTGGCGACGAGAAGATTATTCGAACTGAAGGCGGCTATATTATCGGTGCCAGTACTCCATATATGACCCAATTCTGGCGGATTGTCACTCGATTGGGTTTCTAAGTGTTGATGAGCGCTGCACATTGCGTCTCGCCAGACCCCTACAAAGAGCGAGGCGCCTGCAAAGATGTTTTCGTAAACCGACGTTTTCCCATCAACGGACAAAGGGCTGAAACGAAATGAAAACGAGAACAAGTTAAAACTTGTTAAAAATGGTCAAGCGGGCGTGCAATAGAACAACTACGGTGAATCCGTTATCAATTAGCAGTTCATTAGCTCACCTGTGGCCAGGGTCAACCCTATCGTTGGTACTTTTTGGAATTTTTTACGACCCCCCCCCTTCATGGGCGAATTGATACGACCCCCCCCCTTGTGTGTACGGTAGGAGAGT